AGCGTCGACGGTGGGTTTAGGCTACCGTGGGGTAGGGAGGGTGGGTTCGGGTACCGTGGGGTAGAGGAGGGTGGGTTCGGGTACCGTGGGGTAGGGGAGGGTGCGTTCGGGTACCGTGGGGTAGGGAGGGTGGGTTCGGGTACCGTGGGGTAGGGGAGGGTGCGTTCGGGTACCGTGGGGTAGGGGAGGGTGGGTTCGGGTACCGTGGGGCAGAGGAGGGTGGGTTCGGGTACCGTGGGGCAGAGGAGGGTGGGTTCGGGTACCGTGGGGTAGGGAGGGTGGGTTCGGGTACCGTGGGGGAGGGGAGGGTGCGTTCGGGTACCTCGCCGCCCTCCGAGCCTCCCGCCCCAGGCGCCTCGCTCGCCCCCGCCCCGCCCCGCCCCTCGCCAACGCTCGCCGCGTCCGCCCACGCGTCCCAACAAGGCGACGCCGCGTGCCGCAGCACCTGCGGGGGGCGCAGGAGGAGCACACAGACTCGGCGAAGGGGGGGCGAGACTCTCTGTGTCTCTGGCTCTGTGTCTATGTCTCCCTCTCTGTCTGTCTGTCTGTCTGTCTGTCTGTCTCTCTCTCTGCGCGCCCCCCCTCCCCTCCCTGCGACTCTCTGCCCGGCTGCCTGTCTCTATCTGTCTGTCTCCGCCTGTCTCTGTCTGTCTCTGTGAGAGGGAGAGGCAAACAGAGACACCTCTCTCTCTCTGCCTCTTCCCTCTCACACTCTCCCGTCGCGCCCTCTCTCTCCGTCTCTCTCGGCGGCCTACCACCGGCGCGGCGTGACGACCCTCCCCCGCTCGCAGCGACACCGCCCGCGCCTCCCCCCTCTCCGCGCCGCCACGCTCGCGCCGCTGCTGCGAGCGCCTGTGCCCGTGTGACTCCTCTCCTCTCCACGTCTACGCGTCTTTGCTCGCCACGCCTCGGACAAGGCCTTGGTCGGCGATGCTTGGCTTGGCTCCTCTTCCGTCTCCCTCCCTCCCTCCCCCCCCCCCCCGCAGAGGAAAAGAGAGTCACCGCTGGGTCATCTCGTGCGGAGCGGACTTGCTGCTGCAGCGCGTCGACGGGGTCGAATTGGCTGTCCTCAGCCACAAACAGGTGGCCGTGATGCCGCGTGAGCGCGGCGCCTATGAGCGAGCGCTCGCCTTCGCTCCGGCGG